ATACTATTGAACTCATCTTTAAACCTGCAATGTACTGCTGTAAGATGACACACGTTCGAAGCGCTGTCTTGACATACTGCGAGATATATTAATTATGAATGCCCTGCTACTCTTTAATAAAAATATATATTTTAATATCATTATATTGATATTATAATTTGCAAAAGGATATGATGAACGATTTCCTGTTCCTTAGATGTGTCGGGCAAAAAAAAGCTCACTTTTCAGATGAAATGTATGACATCTGGTTTAAATAAAGACAGGGAATTAAAAAATCCCCAAATGAATATTTTGTTTCAATTACAACGACCGCTTTATTATAAAAATTTCGACGAACTTTAATGACGCATTAAGTAAACGGCTTTTAAACCTTATCAGTCAATAATTATTCAATAGAGTTATAGTCAAGTCATAGAAGTGTTCGAAAACGTACACGACTTTATTCTAGGCGTGCTTCACATAATCCAAGAGCTCACGAGAAATATCTTTCGGGAAAAGCACAGTAAGGATTCAAAACGTTCAAGGCGATGAAAAACCCATATTTTGAGGAATTAATGGGTTGTTTCTGTAGAGCACAGGATACGTCATCACGCTGGAAATAAATTAATTCTGTCTAATTACATAATTAACGCAAATTATTTTTGGAATGTGTAAATTACAAGCGCAGTACACCTCCTACGAAATATATTATAGACATTTTGTCCACAGCCCATGTGTCCCCAGGCCTACACGTCCACAGGTCCACACTTCGTACTACATACAGTACAGACATTCTACTCACAGCCCAAAGGTCCAGACCTCTTACTACACACATGTATAGATTTACATTTTTTTAAATAAACCGTATAAAATTCTTCCTTTCTCTTAAGGGCAAAACTAGCCAAAAAACAACAAAAAACAGCACTAGTAGCCGTATGTTCGATGCCAATAACATTTCTGCAGGAAGTTATGTGTGTGATATTAGGCTTTATTATCAGGCTCCAAAGTTTATACCCACAACTGAAATCCGTATGTCGTTCTTTTATTCCTTTTATTCCGACGATACCTGTTCGTAGGTTATCTAAACAAACAGTTTTCTTATACTCTAATCACCCTGAAACGATTATAAAATATTTTGTAACTAATCTTAATAAACACAAACACA